ATAGATAATTCAAATTAAACATGGTTGCCTGCAAATTCTTTACTAGAGGAAGTAAAAAAAAAAAGTACATTTTGATTATGTTTTGCTGCTGGTCTTCTGATGTATGTGCTTTATCAATGAGAGCACTACTCTAGGAATTTATTGTGCTACTTTAATATAACTGAACATGAGGAAAATTGATATTCAAATTTTGATAGGGGACCTTTTTTTCTTATTTTTGGTGGCAGGCTTATTTAAAAAAAATCCACATAAAATCTACTATCAGACGGACACTTTGACAACCTGAACTAGGAACTTAAGTCTGTAAAAGAAATTTAGAAATGGAAAGCTGTTTCTGAAAAATATAAAATCTAAACCTTGTTACTTACTTACTTTGGCTTTTCTTTTTTAAATAAAGATTTGTGGTAAAATAACCTTAAATATAATACCTGCTGTTAACATAGGGCATCATTTGTCAGTGCTTGTAATAGAAATATATAAGTATTTTAACTTGAATGAGTTCAAAGAATTTAAGAGTTTTTTAAAGCTATACTCCACGTTTTCACTGTTTAGTTTTTAAAAAATATAATTTGGGTCTCTGATAACCTTAAAAGATAGTGAGGTTCAGATAGAGATCATTTCCTGAACATGGTTGACCTCTAACAGAACTAATTATTTCCTCACCCAAAGAGTTATACAGGATACTGCCAGATCTCCACTACAAAAATCTTGTACTGTTAGACAATGTTTACCATCCATTTAAAAGCCTTGTACCACCAGAGGCAAAGCATATAAAATGAAAGTAAACTTGTTTCTAGTCTACTTATCCCAACTAAACTCTTATGAAACCATATGGAAAAATTAATATATAGAAAGTAATTTCCTTATTTTCTGATCTGTCAGCAAAAAATTACTAGTTTTCTGTAAGAACAAAAAACTCAATAAAGTGTCTACCTGTTTAAATTAAAATGATAATCCTGGTGTCTTTTAACATCAAGACAGTAAAAAAAAAAAGCTTACAAAATCAAGATGATGCTTGAAATGAAAGCTATGGTTCAAAAATGTTTATGTTAAGAGACTAAAATTGTGTCACTGCAAAATTCCCTATGGCTTTTGGCACTGACATTAAAAGATTTTAGTCTTTTGGTCACTTGAAGTTGTTACTAAATATAACAATAAGCCTTGAAAAAGGGGGGGAAATACAGTGAGGAACTGAAGGATAGCTAAGTAACTACATCATATACAAAGTAAAGCATAGTTTGAAATAAACAGTCATTCTGCTAGGGATCTGAATATACAAGAACAGTTTACCACCATTGCTTCCATTTTGAGGAGGATCCTCTAATCAGAAAGAATTCCTTTAAGTTACTGTGAGTGGTGTTGCCTGGCAGCAGCTTCAATTTCCTAGGCTAGTCTTCAATCCAAGTAATTAAGTACTCTCACAAGGAATAATCATACATGGCAATAGGGTAAAAAAGCAGGGCAGTTCTTCCATGCACAAATATTTCAGGAGAAAAACCTTCAACTTTAAAGATAACCATCAGGTTTAAGGTATTCTAGCACACTTTAAACCTTAAGTTTTGTCTTATACCATTGGTGACTAAAATTAACAGTAAGTTTTATGGTGAATTTTTGTTTTTGCTTGCAACTATATACACATTGAAAAACTATTCTGCATCACATGATTTTTAAACGAAATAAATATAAAAATGAACCATATAATCAATACATAACTTTAACACTCCACATTATTTAATCTCGATCACAATGATGGTAACCTTCTGGTCAACAATCTTGTGAGTTGAGGAGCTGATTCTCATTCTCATATCCATCAGGCAGATATGCTCTCCTCAGCTGGTCTGACTTAGGTATGGAGCCTCCATTCTTCACATGGCGAGACAGGAAAGCACGGACGGCTGGGTGATCAGCCTTCTCAAGTGGGATGTTGGCTTCCAGGCACATTTTCACAAAGTCCTGGATAACACTGACTTTCTCTGTTTGTGCAGTACTGTTGCACTGAAGGGATGCAGTTAGGGGCCTTTGCTTCTTTCTCACATTCTGCTCTTCAAATTCTGCCTTCCTCTTGGTATGAGTCTTTGACTTGAGGTGGTCACTAATGGCAGACTTGCGAACATGATTCAGAACCACATTGCAAGAAGTGCAGAAGAGTTTTCCTCCATCTTCATGCAGCTCACCTCCAAACTCAGTGACTCGATCCAGGGGAGTCACATACAAAGCAGTCTTAGAACGGTTTCGAGCAGGTGGTGCTGTCACTACAAATCTTTCCATTTTGACTTTGAATAAGGTTCTTTCAAGACAAGAAAAAACGTGTTATAACAACAGTTCATTTGGGAAGCAGTTAACAAGAAAAGTATAAACATTTTTAAGATTATAGATTTCAGAAAACTTAATTTAAATTAATAGATCGTGTACCCATTACTAGTAACAACTATATCCATTCCTTGAATTTGATGAAATTCAAATAAATTTAAACTATGAAAAAAGAATTACACCTATTTCAGATGTCACTATCTTTTAAAAAAACCTAATCACAGGTCAGTATTTAGGGTATTATATTAATTTCATTCAATTTAGATATGTATTCAAGTTTAAAAGAGCTTCTTTTTATTCACGGTTCTGGGGCAACTGATTTTAGGAACACAATCATAGGGAATTGTTAACAAAGTTTGTTCAAACAGGGGGATAAATAAACTGGCATAATTGTATATGAAGGTAAATATAATTTCCACAACTGCTCAGAGAAAAAAAGTATAAGCCAAGAAAGCAGACTGAACACAAGTAACATCAGAGACAATATCATTATGTTTTAAAGCAAAAATAGAATTCAAAGAATTAATGCATATACACCTCTAAGTTTTCCAAAAGGTGATGATCAAGATATATGCAGTGTTTTTTCTAACACTTTTTTCCATTAAAGACTAATATTCACATTTATTAATTTATTCCATTTAACTAGTCAGCTAGAACAAAACCAAAAACTCATTAACATAGTGCCTAGTATATGATAGATGTTCAATCACAATTTGTTGATGGAATAAAGGATTATCTTTACTATTTTTTCATATATTAATCTCAGAAGCAGCTTAATCATTTCAAAATTTATCCTAATTGAAAACATTTATGATCACTGCCAAAACCAGTGGCACTGAAAACTTGAGATATTGAACAAATACTGTTGGTGGAGACCATTTGTTTCCTGAGGCATGTGCCTTTGGGTTAAGCTCTTACATTAACCTAGATATAAGAAATTCAAATGAATTTGATAGAATTGAAAATAGAATTCTGTTCTATAGAAATATGACAGGTACCATGTTTTCTTTATAAGTGTAATCAGAAACAATGGTGTTAATCCACGTTCGAGAACTTGTAGCTGAGTAATATTGAAAGCTGTCTCAAAATAACTTTAAATTGTCTATGGACATAAACTCAGAGAAGGACTTAATGTTTTACATAAATTCTGAAAAGCATGATAAAACTTAGGTTTTAATAGGATTAATTCAAATATTCTATTAACACGTTGAGCGCCCAGCCTGTTTTGTCTTTGGGAGGGAAAGTATAGTGTCAGTCACCGGTGACTGACAGGGGGCTTAACGTGTTAAAAGTCTGTTTAATGTATAGCTTTCATGTGCCAAATATTGTGTTGGCTACAGGTGTTCAATGGCAGATAAGGCAGATATGATTCCTGCCCAATAAACAGTGAATTACCATTATATGTGTGTACCTTAAGTTAATGATTTATATTTTATACACCTATAGCAAATCAGGCCCAATTATTAATGGCTCTAAACTAGTTATAAAACAACATTAAATATTTGTGCCCAGTAATGCCTAAATCTTTCAATGTGAAAAATCTTCTGTCTTTAAATAGTTTAATTTCAAACTTTAAAAAATGTTCGTTATTCTCTGAGGCATAAAATGCCCCATTACTTGTGATAACGTGAAAGACCTACACATCCAATGTCTTGTAACTTTCAAAAGTCTGTTTGTGTTACTGCAAAAGCAAACATCTACCCAGCAGAGGATGCTTGAGTTTACAGACCTGAAGAACAAAAGTGTTTTCAAAAGAAGGTAAAGATATTTTAAGCGCAGACGAAGTTAAGAACAGGAATTAGCTAACAAAACAGAAGCTGCAAATCACTTACTAGAGCGAAATAGAAGTCATCCGTTTTCAAGTTTAAATGTTTACCTGATGAGTTTCCAGTTTTTTTCCGTCTGGATACTTACTAGTAAAGGGTCCCAGCGCAAGACCAGAGATGCATGAAATCCCGGCACTTTCCGTTGGTTCCAACCGGAGACGCTTTCAAAATCCGTGTTTCAACAAGTGGTGGTGGGCAAATAGTTTCTGGGCTTGCACCCTGTTTTCCCTGAGAGGCGGGGAAGTCATGCCTTTACTGCAAAACACAAAACGAATGAAAAGAAAAAATGGGGGTAGGGAGAAAAAGAAGGGCGGGCGAAAACGTGAACAGGGACACCAACAACCGCCACCACGCAGGTGTCTTTAAAACCTCTCTC